ATTAGATAATTTCTTTCTAGATATTAATATTTTTATCATGAATAAGTAACTGGAAATCTATCCCAGCTCCTAGGAGATTTACAAAAGAAATTTCTTTATCCAAAGATGCTTTGTCCTCAGTGAGCCAGGGTTGACTGAGTGCACAGCTCATCAGCTGTAAGGATAAACTGAGGGCCAAGTTGTGGCTTAGCCACATGATGGCTGGGTTGGGTCCTGGCTGCTCCACTTCTGATCCAGTTTAATGTGTCCAATACGCAGCACAATATAGCCCTAATCCTTGGGACTTTGCTGTCCCACACAGGGGACACCTCCCAGGTTCTGACTTTCGCTCACAGCTGTTTGGGATTTTTTTTTTTTAATGATTTTTTGAGTCACTAAAGTAAACTGCTAAGGGAAGATCAGACCTCCCCTCGGTCACGGAGATCCAGTCCCGTCTGTGTAAGTCACACCAAGATGAGCCTGAAGTGTGAATGACAAAAACAAGCAAAGTCAGGTCTGGAAATCTTGGACAAGGAAGAGCAGCGGGGAGGGCCCCACTGGAACAGAAAGTCCCGGGACACCCATTGTCTTGCCACAGTGGCTCAGCACAGGCACGGAGGGCAGATAGCCCGGGAGCCCCCACGCCTCGCCACAGGACATGGGCAGTAGAGTGAAGCAACGCGACACACATGGGGCCCTGAAGACACACTTAGACCCTACCTCACACCACACACGTCGGGGGAGCAGTGCTTCATGCAAGATATGAGGACCGGTGCTGTGGCCAAAAGGCTGTTGCGCTCACTTGGGGAGTGAATCATCGGACGGAAGATCTTCCTCTCTGTCTCTCCTCCTCTCTGTATATCTGACTTTCCAATAAACAAATAAATCTTAAAAAAAAAAAAAAAAAGAGGGCCCGGCGCGGTGGCGCAAGTGGTTAAGGTCCTCGCCTTGCACGCCCGGGATCCCATATGGGCGCCGGTTCTATCCCAGCAGCCCCGCTTCCCTTCCAGCTCCCTGCCTGTGGCCAGGGAAAGCAGTCGAGGACGGCCCAAAGCTTTGGGAACCTGCACCCGCGTGGGAGACCCGGAAGAGGCTCCTGGCTTCGGATCGGCATAGTATCGGCAGTTGCGCTCACTTGGGGAGTGAATCATCGGACAGAAGATCTTCCTCTCTGTCTCTCCTCTCTGTAAATCCGCCTTTCCAATAAAAAAATAATAAAAATAAATCTTTAAAAAAAAAAAAAGAAACTACAATTGTAACTCGTTTCAAGAACAGCTAATGTCTACCATGGAGAAAAAAGTCTGAAGAAAATTCTGAATTTTTTTCCTTTAGAGATTTATATATTGATTTGGAAGGCAGAGTTAGAGAGAGAGAAGGAGAAGGAGAGACTGATTTTCCATCTTTTGGCTCACTGCCCAAAGGGCCACAAAGCCGGGAGTCAGGAGCTACTTCCGGGTCTCCCAAGTGGGTGCAGGGGTCCACCCTCCGCTGCTTTTCTGGGCCATTAGCAAGGAGCTGGGTAGAAAGTAGAGCAGCCAGGACTCAAAATGATACCCATCAGGGATGCCAACACCATGGGTGTGGCTTTTACCAGCTGTGCCACATCAGCAGCCCCAAGAAAAATCTAGAATTTTCCAGTCTATCCAATGAAAAAGGCCTGTAACCCAACCGGAGAGTGGGCAAAGCTCAGGAATCGAGAGGTTTCAGGGAAACACCAACAGCCCTCTGACACCACTGCGGATTTGGAAGGGACTGTCCCAACCGCCCAGGCAGTCAGCCGCCTCCTTTTCTTTCTCTGGTAATGCACCCTGCAGACACTTCACCAAGAACTGCAGAAGCCAGACTGAAAAACCGTGGAGCACACAGCCCCACGGACACAGCCAAGAACAAGGGTGAACGAGGGGCAGCCGAGTGTACTCAGTGAAGAACGCCAGCTGGGCAGTGTCACCCCGGAGAGCAAGGGCCACGGGGCCATGAATTCTGATGGGCATATAGTTGCATCAGAAAACACTGACAGAAAAACAAAACTGGCTGGTGGCCGGCACTATGGCTCAATCCTACTGGCTAAATCCTTGCCTTCCAGATGCTGGGATCACATACGGACACCTGTTCTTGTACTAGCTGCTCTACTTCCCATCCAGCTCCCTGCCTGCGGCCTGGGAAAGCAGCAGGGGATGGCCCAAAGCTTTGGGACCCTGCACCTGCTTGGGAGACCTGGAGGAAGATCCTGGCTCCTGGTTTCAGATTAGCTCAGCTCTAGCTGTGGTGGCTACTTGGGGAGTAAACCAGAGGATTTAAGATCTTTATCTCTTCTCTGTTAATTTGCCTTTCCAATTAAAAAAGGAAGGAAGGAAGGAAAGAAGGAAGGAAGGAAGGAAGGAAGGAAGGAAGGAAGGAAGGAAGGAAGGAAGGGAGGAAGGGAGGAAGGGAGGAAGGGAGGAAGGGAGGAAGGGAGGAAGGGAGGAAGGGAGGAAGGGAGGAAGGGAGGAAGGGAGGAAGGAGATGGCTGTACGTCCAGGGTTTAGGAGGGACAGTGACAATATAATGAGGGACAGGGTGGGCCCAGCAGCTTCACAACATCTTTATGAGTTGATTTTTTCAAAGATTTATTTATTTTACTTGAAAGGCAGATTTCTTTTTAACAGATATCTTCCATCTTCTGATTCACTCTCCAAATGGCTGTTAACAGCTTTAACTTGACCAATCTGAAGCCAGGAGCAAGGAGCCTCTTCCGGGTCTCCCACACAGGTACAGGATCCCAAGGCTTTGGGCAGTCCTCGACTGCTTTCCCAGGCCACATGCAGGGAGCTGGATGGGAAGTGCAGCCTCCAGGACACAAACCAAGGCCAGTGTAGGATGCTGGGGCTTCCAGCTGAGCCATCGCATTGGGCCCAGTCTAAAAAAAAAATGGAGATGGGCATTTAAGATGCCAAGAAGGAAGGCCCAAGTCCCATCACCCAGCACAAGGCTCTAAATCCCCAGCTCTGGGGTCTTGCTAGTGCAGACCCTTAAGACATGGCTCAAGAAATGGGCTTGAGCCACCCATGCCACGTCTGCCCCAGGCACTTGGGGTGTGAATCAGTAGATGAGACTTACATATTTTCTAAATCAAAAAATTAAAATACAGAAAGGGATCGTGATCTCCCTGGTTTATTTGAGAAGACTTTTACTCAGCTCCGCCCTAGAGTAGCAGGCAACGTCGACTGCTACACTCTTAAATATGTGCCTCTCCACATCTTCAAGGCACTGCCCCTGGTGCCATGGCCAACAGGGCGGCACCGTCAGTAAGAAGCCACTTGTAATCACTACTGAAGACATATGTGTGCGGAGAGAGTGACTGGGGAATGAGAACCCACTCAAGATGCAAGTATGTTTGCAGAGGCCCCTGGTAAGGGGTGGGTACGGCACACCCAACTGTCAGTCACGCCACACACACCTGGGACAACCACCCTGTCCCTTGCTTCATCCGTAGCTCCACCCTGGTCTCCTCTCTCTCACAAACACACACACATTCTATTTCAGAGTGACAGATAAATGGGGCTGGAGCTGGCTGAGATGAGGAAGCAAGAGCTTCGTCTGGGTCTCCCACACGGGTGCCGGGTCCCAAGCACTTAGGCTATATTCTTGAGCTGCTTTCCCCGCCCGTCAGCAGGCAGCTGTATGGAAGTGGAGCCACCAGAACTGGAACGGTCATGCTGGTGTTACAGGTGGCAGCAACTCACCATGCTGGACAGACTGCACTCAGACCCAGCCTCGGCACGCCCCTTCCTGGAGGCCCGGCAGCAGCAGCCCACACCCAGGAACTCCGGCTTGGTGCCTTGGTCCTTGTGGCAGCGACAACTCAACTGGACTGAGCCAAAGGGAAAGTCCCGACCCGTACAGGAAGCTACGTTCACTGTAGGGTGGTCATCGGTTCCAGCAAACAGGGCCGGGTGAGCACAGGGAAAGAGGCCAACTCCACACATCCCCACACCAAGCTGAGCCAACAATGGCCACAAAAGCTAAGATCACTTAAAGGGGCCTGGGAGCTGTGCAAACGGACAGAGCTTTCAAGGCCCCCACCTGAATTGTCATAAAAAAAGAGGAAGGGAAAAGGCCGGCTGTGCATCTCAGCATGTGCTGTGTACGTTCGCTACTGCAGAGGGAGGTGCAGGATGGTGCCGAGGTGCCACCTGTCGCACACCCCCAAGGCAGGGCCAATAGTTGCCCTCTTAATGACTAACTCTCCTGGCAGCCAAGAAAGGCCTATCTGGTTTGCACGAGGAAAAACCCACCCAACCGACAGCAGAGCTGGGACTCAAACCAAGAATCCGTCTCCAAAACCCTTGGTTGATGGCTTGTAAGGGAACAGGGTGGCTGTTACAGTCAAGGGATTTGGAGCCGGAACAGTTGGACCAGAGTATCTGCTACTGTGTTCGACTTGAAATTCTTTGTTGGATGTAAATTAGTCTAATTTTCAAAATAAATCTCAACTTCAAAGTATCTAGCTGGAAAGTAGCTTTCATTCAACAGGAATGAGAAGCTGAAATGGGACTGGGTTCCTTTCTAATGCACCTCAGAAGGTGGCAGAAGGGTCCCTGGCCCCCATGTGCAGCTCCAGGCTCCCGCTGTCAGGCTGGCCCGGGCCTGGCTGTTGCAGCCATTTGGGAGAGAAGTAGCAGAGACCTCTACTACATGGTACTAACGGCAGTCCTCAGCTCCCCTGGGGCTCGACTGTCTCGGTACACAGCAGAATCCAGAGTTTATACGACCCCCCCTCCTCTTGCAGTCATGAAGGAAGATTTCTAGACCACTCTGATAAAAGCTGATGTGGCCATGTGAGCGGTAGATGAACTTCCTCCGGGTCAGCCTGAACGCTGTCTGGCTAAGCTCCACGAGCCCACGGGGGTCAGGCTTGTGCCCTCCCTGCCAGCAGCCCCAGCGGTCCTGCACCGGCCCCCTCCCTACAGAACTCTGAGGAGGGTGGAGAGGCAGCGGCAGTGGTGATGATGACGGAAATAAGTGGATTCCACACGTGAAGGTTATCTTCTAATTTATACTTTATTGTATTATGAAAATAACACATTTATTTGGCAAAGTAATCTAGGTTCCGAGTTGAAATGAAATTCTTAAGTGTACTGATTATTTCTTAAACGTGAATTAGATGTATTCTAACCAATACATACTTGCATTCTTATAAGTAGGCCAACAACCAAGCAAACCTAACCGTAATACTTTCATATGAAATTACAGATGTTTTTGCATTCATCCATTTTTATGATCAGCACATATCGCAAGAGAAATGACCTTCATTCCATCCAACCAATGTACGTAAGAAACTCCTCTTCAAAAAAAAAAAAAAAAAAAAAAAAAAAAAAAATGTGAACTACCCCCAATTTTTATTTCCTTTGGTTCTACAAGCTGCATTTGCATCCTCACCACAAGCTACATTTTTTCACAAACATTGTAGCAGCTTTAGATTCTGCCCAGGTACCTTTGTAAGTAAGCTAGTATATTACATTTACACTATTTGAGAAATTGCTGATTTTACAAATGCAAAAATGCATACATACATGCCTATCTACACTGGCAAAATAAAGTCCTCTGACCTCACGCTGGGAGAGGCCACGTCTCCAGCCCATGGCTGCTGGGACTCCCCTGCCAGCCAGAGGACCCACGTAATGGCACCCAAATGGCAACTGGGTGCTGCAGCCATACGTGACAGGTGTAGTTAAAACAAACCTCATGTGGATTAGTCAAATCTAATCAACATTGAAAACAGGACATGTTCACTACTTTATTTCTGTTCTGCTACAACTTGAGAAATGAAAACATGGGAGTTTGCAAAAACGTATGAAGAGGTTTTCACTTGAAGAGGGAAATGTGCTAAGAACACATCACATACACTCTCTCTTCGTAAGCGTCTTCTGATTCCTGCGACGTTGGGTTCAGAGACAAAGTGCCTTTACCCACCAAGGTCTTCACTCTTCACATGGATCTTTTAATAGGACTTTGCTTGATGTGTGTTAACAAACTGTGCCTAAAACAAGCCTTTTAAAAACTCACAAATGAGTCAGAACTGGCATTTTCATTCAGGAGAGTCTGCATTAAGTGGACGTAGGCATACTTGTGGAAACCTGCTCCCCAGTGGCCATCAGCATCTGAAGCAAGCTCAACAAGGTCTCCCATCTCTACCACAGGAGTCCAGCTATCTTCAAAATGACGCTCCACTAGCATTCTAGTTATCTGCATCAACAGCAACAGCTTAGATCTATGATCAACGAATGAGTATCTAATAAATATTAACACTATTAAACTACAGATTAAAATGCAGGATTTCTCATAGAGTTAAGTGGTGTCATTGTGGTACATTCACCATCATTGTACTTTATTTAATAAAGAACTACATTTGCCCTTGCAAAAAATAGCTAATTGCAAGTTTACAAATAAAACCACAGACCTCAAAAGTCATGATGTTAAATATCCAACTTAGAACCAATGAAAACAAACGGACGACGTTTACAAATGGTCCATGGCACAATTAAAATAAAAAATATCAAAAGGTCACAGGATCTTAAAGAACACGTTTATTGACAGGAATTTCATAAATATCCTAAAGAAAATCTCAAAAGTTTCCAAACTTAAAATGCTTAAAATCTGTTCTCACTGGCAAAATATCACTTGATAAAATTAATAGGTCATTACAAATGAATGTCACATGTAAGATTAACTTTATAATATTTTTGCAAAAAAATTTTAAAAATTTACAGTGTTTGCTTTTACTCCTATTGGGTACAGTAACTCATTTCAGTTTTTATTTCAACTGTTAGACATATTCATAAATATATTTAACTAGTTGCTGTGAGCAAGTCAGTAGTATGTTATTATCCTACAAACATAAATGGATCCAAATCACTTTGGTATTTTTAGTCACAGCAAGTTTAGTTGTTAAAATGCAAAATTTTGTAATCTCTCTCTAAATTTCCCAAATATGAGACAAGGTTAGGAATTCTTTTCCTCATTTTTCTAAGTTCATCTGTGTACTTCAGGTTTCTGACACTAAAAAAGGTGTTCTCACATTTTGATAAAAATGTACTCCAATATTTTATAACATTAATATTTATTGCTTTATATGAATACTGTATTGAAAGCCCAAGCATTCAGTTTACACACAGAAATTGTACAATGATATACCGCTTCACAAAGGCAGTGAACACAGGACAGCCTACAAAATCTACTTTACACAAATTTAAAAATTCTAAATATCAAAAAGTACAGCTGAGGAAACAGGTATAAATTTGGCAGCCAGTAATTTTGACAGGGAAGTTGCAGCTCGCATAACTTTTAAATATGTGAATTTTAAAATGCTGAGTTTAGAGTAATCATTGTGCTTTGTGTTGATTTGAAAAATATAACACTGGCTGTCAAAGAAGTATGTTCAAAAATATTTAATTCACTTCAAAATGTCATACAAATTATGGTGGTTTCTATGCACCCCTAACACCCTACTTAGCTCAGGGACATTACTAAAGCAATATATTAATTTTTCCAGTACAGTGGTGTTTCTTACCATTGACATCTGCGTACTCTAGAATAATTTAGAAAGAAATGTGTAGGAAAGCAAGCACAAAGTCAAGGGACCTGCCTGGATCTTCTGAGATGCTCTCATATCAGCTTTGTAAGCATTCACTCTAGAACACAGCAAGGTACCGCTGGAACCCAAGTTCCGAGGCAAGCACATCCTCTCACAAACAACCGTGTTTTCTCCTCAGGCCCCTCCGAAGCAGACACAAGAACTTCAGCTTCAACAGGTTCCTTGGAATGTGTTTAACCTGCTATTTCAACAGACAAGATGTCCAGGGTTTCACAAGGGCCAGATTTTATTTGAATTATTCAGAAGAGAAAGAAAATGCCTTCTGAAAGAGGTGAACTCAATCATTACCAATAGAAAAAGTTATCCACTGTATTCATCTCTTATAGAAACAGAAAAATATAACATTTCCCCCCTTAGAATAATATATATGTATATATATGTATATATATATATATATATATATATATGTATATATGACTTAGAGTTCCATTGTACACAAACAATAAAACCTGGAAACCAGCATGAAACCCTACAATTCACATGTTAAAATATTGAAACTTTGACCAAAACAGGAAAACGGCCAGAGTGTTCAGAGAAGACAAAAAGCTTTCTTGCATATGTATAAACTAAATGTGATCATCAACAAAGTTTTCAAATTATAATTATTATTTTCCAGTTTAAAAACTTTAACCCTTAAAAAAAAAAAACAAAAAAAAAAAACCACACACACACATCTATACACAAACCACTGATTTGACCAGACCAAAAAAACAGTCAGCGGTGAGCAGGACCCAGAAGTATTCAGTCCCCACACGTACGACCTTTCAGGACTCCCCCTCACAGTACGCGGTGACCTGCTTCTCTTCCCGAGTTTTCTACAGTGTAAACCAGAGCTGTGCGTGAAGGCCTGCACCCCCGCGCCCCTCGGCGGTCAGTCCTGCTCCATCGGCTCCTCGGGGGCCTGGGCAGCGTCGCCGTCATTCTCCATGGAGGACTCCGACAGCTCTCCAGTCTCACTGGAGCTGCTGGATCCTTCCAAGCCGGCTGCCTGCTGGCAGCTGGAGCCACTGCTCGCAGGGCCTGGATCTTCAGGACCTTCCGAGCGGGAATCCTTCTCAGCTTGAGACGCAGGGGAATCCTCCATCTGACTGCCTTCCTCAGAAGTCTCTTCGTTCACAGTTAATGTATCATCACATTCTCTCTCTTGATTTTTTCTTTCTGAGATTTCTCTTGTTGTCATAAAAGACTCTAAAAATAAGCAAACATGCTACAGTTAAAATTTTATTTTTAAAACACCTCCCAAGTTGTTTCATGAATTCTGTTATTTTACAGCTAAATCACAGCCCCTGGAACTTAGCTGCAACCACAGAGCGCAGGGAGACAAGCCCAACACGAGCACTAGGAGGAGCTTCCCCGCATTAGATCCTCTCGGGAAGGCAGGCAGGCGGTGAGCCTCTCCTCAGGCCACCCTTCCACAGACCTTCTTCCTCGTCCTCGTCCTCTTCCTCGTCCTCTCCAGCACAGTCCTGCCTGCTGCCACGGCCTTCCTTGTCTTTACCCTGGGGTGAAGACGAGCCGTCTGGCCCTGCTGCTGAGGAACTCTCACTGGAAGCCATCTGACTGGCGGCCTCCCCCACTTCCCCTTCTTTCTCAAACCGCAGTCTCTTCACTTCCCGGCCCTCGGCTTCTCCGGCATCTTCTTCTGCGTGTTTGTTTTTCGTAGGGCTCACTGAAGACGCTTCTGATTCAGAAGCCAGCGAGTCACTGTAAATTTTTTAAAGTATCATTAATAAGATTATATTCCCCACCTACATCTTTTAAGGTCTAATAATTTTTCTCAAATTGTCTTTTCATCTCAAAATTAACTATAGCATTTATATAAAGGAATATACAAGAGAATAATGTCAATTTGAAAAATGTTTTACAATTAGGATCTGGCTGACAAAGTGACCTAATATTCATCCACAATACAACTGTTTACAGTCTTCTCCCTTCGTCTTTTTTCCCCTTAATGTGATGTAGTAAAGGTTTTAACTTAATACAAAGACACTTTCAAGTAGCTTTCAAGATAAACAATAAATAGAAAGAACGAAAGGACGAACGAAAGGAGAGAGTGATCTTTCCTTCTTAAAATCCTTGTGCATGCATTCTCCCCGTGGCGGCTTTTCACCTTCAGCACAGGAAAAGCTGCCACAGAAGCCACACTCCATAAACCACAGGAAAACTCGGCTCTCCGTGCGGAGCGACGGCCAGGCCTTTCTCAGTGCGCGCAGGAACCTGCTGCCGGACCTCTACAGACACTCACATCTCTTACTACATACAACGACCTTGTGCTTGCCACATCAGCTACACATTCTAATCTCTAGGCGACTTCTCACAGTTAATACAATTCTCCATGCCATGGTGCCCCTATGCAAATGGTCGCTCTATGTACTGCCCATCCATGTGCACTAGACAGTCCCATCACAGGTATTTTTGATGACAACTGCATCCACAGATATGAACAACTCTTGGCTGTAGAATGGTGTAAAGTACAAGGAACAATGTTGAAAACCATCAACAAACTTGTTTTAATTTGTAATATAAAATCCATACGAACCTGTGATTTTTCTCTTCATTTTGCTGTAAGTTTGACTCCTTACTGTCTAGGCTCTCGGGCAACCCATTTGTCGTCATTGGGACAGACAAAGAAACCTTTGGTCGGTTGAGTGGCCTGGGGGTTCCAGGCCCATTTATATTAGACCTGCAGTGAGATAAATCAAAGTCTCATTTTCCATTTTGTTTTTTAAATAAAGGCTACTACCCCCATTAAAATGTTTAAATAAACATTTCACAGAAGTATCTGCTGCAGTTTTACTTTCATGCCTTGTGAAATCAACTAATTCCATGAATACATTCTATACCCCCACCGAAGTGCCCAAAGGTAAATAGCAAACGGAGCCTGCTGTTCAATATTAGGGAGCTACAAGATCTTTGTATATTAAAAAGCAATCTCACCTTTCAGTATAGCTTGGTGAATTACCAGGAAACATAACACCATTCATCCTATTTAAACTATTAGAACTGGTTTTCCTTTAAGATAAGAAAACAGTGTTTAAGAATCAGGGATGTACAAGTGTTTCTCAAAGAACTTACTGTCTTTTCCAAACAGAACACATTTTCAAAATGAACAGTCACACACCACGAGCATACAGGGGAAACTTCCCAGTCAGGATTTCACACTTTTGCTAATTAAAAAAAAAAAAAATCCACATGTTCATTGGCGAAACATTGTTTTAGCTCAGAAATGAAGGCAATTCTTTACCACATCTTTTAAAAAATTTAAGAAACATGAGATTATTTTATTTTAGTATCTCCTTTAATACCAGAAATATACTCGAGAATTCTAAAAAGCCACTGTTATTTCCTACGAAAATGGAAATAGCTTAACTTTTAATTCCTAAAGGTTTATTTGTTTATACAGAGTATAAGGTTTATTTGTTTATAAACAGAGTAAAGGGGAGACAGAAAGACCTTCATATGTTGGTTCACTTCCCAAGTGGCTGAAACGGCCAGAACCGAGTTGATCCACAATCATGAGCCAGAAGCTTCTTTCTGGTCTCCCCCTGAGTTCAGTGATCCAAGGCTTTGGGCAATCTTCTACTGCTTTCCCAGGCCACAAGAAGGGAAGTAGAACAGCTGGAACACAAACTGGTGCCCATATGGGAACCCAACACTTGCAATTAGCCAATAAAGCCATAGTGCCAGGCCCAACAGCTTAACCTTAATTCAACAGCTCCTTAAAGAGGCTGGCGGGGAGGGGAGGGACAGGCAATCTCTTCTCCCTATCTTTCACATTTCCACAGGATACTGAGTAATGTATAAAGAATGGAGAGGGAACAACTCTGGCATCACTGGGCTAAAGTCTAGAGACACTGTTAATCCTCCCATACATTTCCCCATGCATTCACCCTCAACAAAGAACTCTGCTCTATTAACACTGCCAAGGATTAGAAAATTTGTCCAGAGCCCAGAACAGTAGCCTAGAAGCTGAAGTCCTCGCCTTGCACACACCAGGATCCCATATGGGTGCTGGGTCTAATCCTGGTGGCCCTGCTTCCCATCCAGCTCCCTGCCTGTGGCCTGGGAAAGCAGTTGAGGACGGCCCAAAGCCTTGGGAGCTTGCACCCACGTGGAGACCTGGAAAAAGAGCCTGGTTGCTGCCTTTGGATTGGCTTGGCTCTGGCTGTTGCGGCCGCTTAGGGAGTAAATCAGCAGATGGAAGATCTTCCTCTCTGTCTCTCCTATTCTCTGTATATCTGACTTTCCGATAGAAAAAGAAAGAAAATTCGCCCTAAACTGAATTTTACTTTGCTATAATGAATGACAAGGATGACATACAGAGGACTAGCAGCAAGCAGCTATTCCAATTGTGAATTATGAGGTAGTGTCCCCTGAAAGGGTGGCATCTTGGGGTGCCTGGGGATGGCAAACCGCAGACAACAGATGAAGCACTGCAGTAAATGGGCTGGTATGACAGCTCAACCAGCTAACCTTCTGCCTGCAAGCACTGGCATCCCAGGAGTGCTGGCTGGTGTCCCAGTTGGCTCTACTTCCCATCCAGCTCCTGCTCATAGCCTGGGAAAACAGCAGAGGGTGGATAGCCCACGTCTTTGGGATCCCCTGCACTCATATGGGAGACCTAGATGAAGCTCCTGGCTTCAGATCGGCTCAGCTCCAACTGTTGTGGTCATTTGGGGGTGAAGCAGCAGAAGGAAGATCTTTCTCTGTCCTTCTCTGTAAATCTGCTTTCCAATCAAAACAAATGATTTTTTTTTTTTTAAAGCACAGTACCACTTTACAGAAAAAGTATACAGGCAGTGTGACTGGTTAAACATTCTACTTTTGGGAATGGGTGGCAGGTCTGGCATATGTATAAATGTCATCATGCTTAATTATATATAAAACAAACTCACCTATTTTAACAAAACAGATTAAATTACAATTGAACAAAACACTAAAAACAGAAAACTGTGTACTTACTCTGAAGAAGGGTAAACACAGCTAACAACCATCACGTTCTGCAATAAGAAAAATTAGTAATGTACAATAAACAAAGTTTGCTTCTCTATGTTTTAATACATTCATCTTATTTTTGATGTTTGCAGAGTTGAGAAGGATGCATGCCCATGTGGACCACAGATACAGAAGGGTCAAGGAACGGGGGGAAAGTGGATGAGACAACTGTTTCCAATGTCCCTTTTTCTTCCTGTATCTGGAGAGAACTGCCACTAACAAAAACCAGTCATTTAATGAGGAAAATACTACCGTAAATATAAAGATATTTCTCAAAAGTATCCTGGTGGGTTAAATTTCTATTCATTCCCTTATCACTAACAACAGAGAAGAAATGGTTAAACACAGGATGAGAAATCCCCTAAGCCGTTGGCTTTGCTGGTTCCCTCCCCTCAGGTCTGGAGCCCTGACCTAGCGGAGCACAGCTGTGTGCTCTTGTTTTACATGTTTAGAATGAAGTGCTCAGGCCAAGGACATTCACCTCTCTTCTACAATAGCCAAGCCAGAGCTTATTTAGCATCACAGCTGAAGGGAGAATGCCACCTTCCTTTGCAGCAGACCTGAATCTTGAATAATCTCTCTCATGACTGCAGTCAACATTCCCGGGAGTTTCCTCTGAGTCAGAGCCTGTGCTTGGTGTCAGACCTCGCACAGAGCCCTGTTAGCTACAAGGGAAACTAAGAGGAAAGTACCTGGTCCAAGGTTCACAACTCTGAAGCACCATGGTCTTGACTTGAAAGCAGTTCCTAGCACAACTAATGTGATATACTGCTCTTCACCCCCTGGATTCTGTTTCCAAGCCCCAGCCCAGATCCAGCAACTTCAGATGTACTAGAGCATGAGCTAGCAGATGGGAGAGGGAGGGATTGAGGGAGAGAGCACATCTCAAATACGGAACAAATTTTACAAACCACACCAAGTGAGGGGAAGGGGAAGGTGCCATGGTGCAGCAGTACTGGGCATGCCTGGTGACTACATACCACTGCCCAGATCCCTGTTCAGGCACATCTGGGCAGTAGCAGAAGGTAGGCCCAAGGTTTGGATCACTGCCACACAGAGAGGAGGCCAAGATGAAGCTCTTGGCTCCTGGATTCCACCTGGTCTGGCCCTAGCTGTTGTGGGCAATAGTGAATAACAACATAGAAAACCCATCTCTTCCCCTCACCCACTCTCCATTATTACCTTTCTAATAAATAAATAATCTTAAAAATTAAGAGTCTAGGGCTGGTGCCATGGTGTAGCATGGCTAGGCCTCCACCTGTGGTGCTGCCACCTCATATGGGCACATCTTATGGGCTGTTCCCCTTCTGACCCTGCTTCCTGCTAATGGTCTGGGGGCCCAACTGGGAACCCAAAGAAGGCTCCTGGCTTTAGTGTGGTCCTGTGGGGAGTGAACCAGCGGAAAGTCTCTCTCTCTGCCTTCCAAATAAATAAATCATAAAAATAAAAAGTCCTTAAGGTAAAAACTACCGATGAATCATTAGCTTCCTATACTTCGTGAATCTTTACAGAGGTCATAAAGACTCAATGAAACATACTCCAGTAAGAGCCTAAAAACTGCTGTAAATCAGTAAGGGTTACATCAGAACCTCAAAATGAAAGCTGAACTATGCGTTAGGATCCACCACCAAATGAGAATCAGTGCCTCTCTGGTCCAGTCCAGGTTCCCAAGGGATCCTTTATTTATGCATTAAGTTCAATTGTTTTCTCTGTTCACAATGTGTTCTCCTTTTATTAACACCCACTTCCTCACAAAATATCAGACCTACTTTTTTCTACTTAATATCTAATTTGAATAGTATACACCATCAAGGCTGATAATGTTGTAAACGACATCATACTGAAGACTGAGATGGATTACCGACACAGGCTTGAGCAGTGTACACTGTGTACAGCAGGTGAAGCCCCCGTCTGGGACGGTAACATCCCACAGCTCTTCAGTCCTGACCCAGCTTACAGCGTGAAAAAGACGGTGGCTCCTTATCTGCTTAACAGAGATGTCCGACTTGCCAAACCTTACTTTTTAATACTGCCGTATATTTGTTTAATCCCATCAGAGCTAATTATCGTCTCAACTTCCCTTCTTGCTTAAGTTTCCTTCATGTGAAAGGCACCGAGACCAAGCTGCCTGAGAGAAGGAGGTATTTCTCCCTTCTGCCGGCTCACCCTCCACAGTCACACTGGCCACAGCTAGACCAGGATGGAGGAGCAGCCAGAATGCGTTCTACAGAAAACCACAGCTGGAAAACATGCAGAGTTAAAATCTCAGCTTCTCAGAATCTTTAGCATACTGACAGAAATTATGAATATCCCCAAACTCAAAATGACAATTGAAAACAAATTCTGGAACAAAGGCCTCAAAATCATTTAGTGCTTTCATGAAATCTGTATCAGTTATCAAATACACGTCATTTAATGTAACAACCACAATGAAATACCTTTTCTACTCCTCTGAGAAATTTGTCTGTTCCTGTATAGTTCCTTCTCGGATCTGTTAGCAATTCACACAGTCGCTGAATAGTAAAAGGGATACTGCAAAAGAATAATTTTATACTTTCAGGTCATTAATTTATCTCAAGACATTAGGAGCATTATTTCACACATGTGTATTACTAAGGGAGATGAATGGTAAGTCATTTCAAAACAGACAACAAGCAAACTTGTCTTAACAAGAAATTATTCCAATGAAGTATTCTAAACACATTTCTGCTCCATTAGTAACAATTTTCCACACAAACTTCATGCTTAATCCATCTTAAAATCCAGAAAACTGTCCTCAATATTTTGATAAAAATCCTGTTAATTTTGCCAAATAATTTCACCACAACTCAACATTCATTTGCTAATAGCAAACACAAAATTGAGTTGGGTTAGAATTAAAATAATCTATTTCTAAATAATGTTCATACAACCATGTGCATTCATCAGAACTACCAAACTGAACACTGTGTGAGCAGCACTAACAGACCTACAAACCTTAGTCCCCTAAGAAAAGGATTAAAAACCTTCAACCTGAGAGTTAGTACTCACAAAGGTCTTTAGTTTTTATAGGCAGATTGGTACAATACTTTCTCCTGCAAGATAAAACACCTATTAAATAATGATACCAAGACTCAAATTCAATTTCTATACTTTAAACCCTGGTCCATCATGTCCCACATTTAAAATCCTAGTTGTTCACTGCTTAATTGGATAAACTACATGTTGCTTTCCTACTCTTCGCATCGATACTATACTATTCCTTTTTGAAATCTGTGCACACTGAAGTATACACACACAACTAAGGAATTTTGTGAATAGATATAAGAAAGCTTATCAACACTATGGCTAACGGTGAACGAATAGGCTTACATGTTCCTTTCTGCCCATTCACACGAAGACAACACATATTTGGAAACCCCCAACTATCACAAGAGAACAGCTATAGTTTCCCAAATATATGTCACTTCTTACACTTGACTGGAAGTTTCTTAAAAGGACAAGACCCTTTCACATACATTATGTTCAACATGCATTTATTTGCATGTACACAAATGGACTTTTAAAAGTTCATAGAGGACGATGCACACAGGCCCAGCATTGTGATGTAACGGATTAAGCCTTCACCCCATGAGTGACGGCTCATGTCTTGGTTACGCTGCTTCTGATGCAGCTCCCTGCTAATTAACATACCTAGAAAAGCCTTAAAGAATGGCCCAAGTGCTTGGACCACGCACTTAACGGAAGACCCAGATGAAGCTCCTGGCTTTGGCCTGGTCCACCACTGGCCGTTGCAGCCATTTGAGGAGTGAAATCTAGAAGACGGGAAAACCTTTCTCCTCTCTCCATACCCCTGTCTTCCTGATAAATAAATCAGTATTTTAAAAAAGAAACTAGCAGGCCTGACGGCATGGCTTAGCGGCTAAAGTCCTCAGCTTGAACACGCCAGGATCCCATCTGGGCGCCGGTTCTAATCCCAGCTGCTCCATTTCCCATCCAACTCCCTGCTTGTGGCCTGGGAAAGCAATCGAGGATGGCCCAAAGCCTTGAGACCCTGAACCCGTGTGGGAGACCCAGAAGAGCTCCTGGCTCATGGCTTCGGATTAGCTCAGGTCCAGCCTGGGAAAGCAGTAGAGGATGGCCAAAGCCTTGGTACCCTGCACCTGCGTGGGAGACCTGGAGGAAGCTCCTAGCTTCGGATCGGCTCATCTCCAGCCATTGCAGCCACTTGGGCAGTGAACCATGTGACAGAAGATCTTCCTCTCTGTCTCTCCTCTTTTATGTATATCTGACTTTCCAATAAAAATAAAAAATAAATCTTGAAAAAAAAATCTCTTTAGACAATAACACAATTTTCATGAATGTTTTGCAGGCCATGCAATGAGAAATTACAGTAGTGATATGTCAGCCTCCCAGGCCCACCTCCGCTCCACTGTTCTCCAGGTCTCACACACACACCACCAACACACCTGAGCTATTCTCATCAACCCTCTCACAGCAACACAATGAGAATAAAGAATCTACACATTCTCTGAAGAAGCTATGGGCTTCCAAACAGTACTGAACTGAAAAACATTTAAATGTCCTTCCTTTTCAAACTAAAATTCTTATACCAAATAATATTTTCTCTTAAAGTTTTTAACATGAATATTTCAACTTCCTGTTTGATATACTGAATGTTTCATTCCTTATTTAGGAAAGGAAGTAAAATTGTAGGCAGTTATTAATATCTTACATTTTGGCAAATATCAATGCTACTTTTATAGAAGAAAAAAATGTATGTTTTAATAGCAGCACCAGCAGTTATCAGCCTATGATAAATTAGCTCACATTCCTCAAGAATTTTCAGAAGCTTTTAGTTATTTTGCCATCTATCCACTAGATGGTGATAAAATGCCATACAACACTCTTCCTTCACATAAGCAGCTAAAACACAACCAAGCACAACAGACCTGAAAATAATGACAACGGACAAGCAATCAAAGCTAATAAAGTAGTACACATAGTGCCAAAGAGAAGAAAATAAATGTCAGGCAAATGAACCTGCATCTGAAAACATTTCATTTGAAGTGGGACTTGAAAAAGCAACTTATGGGGAAGCCAATACAACGGCTCAACTGGCAAATTGCCACTTACAAGCACCAGCACCCATCTGGGCAACGGTTTGTGTCCCAGTTAAGCAGCAGGGGATGTCCCAAGTCCCTGGACCCCCGTACCTACAGGGAAGACCAGGAAGAGGTTCTTGGCTTTGGATTGGCTTAACTCCAGCCATTGTAGCCATGTGGGGAGTGAACCAGCATGTGGAAGATTCTCTCTCTGTGCCTTTCCAATACAAATAAACCTTAGAAAGCCACATATGAATAAAGCAGATTAATCAATACAAAAATCAATGTACTAGGTCTGACTATAGCAAGTATGCTTCCTGCTGCTCTTCCATTAGACACAGCAGACAACACAGTTCATTCTTACTCCTTAAAATGTTAAGGTTTCTTCCCAATAAAAACAAACTAGCTAAATTAAAATACACATGCTAAAAATAAAGCGAAACTGGAGGTGGAGGAGTATGTGGCCCACTCTCAACAAAAACTCAAACTGAATGGGGGTAGCACACAACAGGGAGCAGATGTCCATCAGCAAATCCAGTTTGTTTAACATAACATTCTGCAACGGCTACTTCTGAGGCTTTTCAGGTAGGGCCCCAAGCAGGGTAGTCTGCAATGCCATCTTTTTTGCCTTTATTATGTAATTTGGAAACCAAGGAACTGAAAACACCACTGACATAGCTGGCACTGAATGTGTGTGTGTGTGTGTAACAAATTATCCAACTTAAAACCTTTACGCATGCTCTTATTTACAAATCAGACTCTGAGCATGCATTTCTTATATTATTATCATGAAGAATAGCCATGACTAAGCATAGAATCCTACTGGTGCCTGCAATATTTTAAAAGTAGTTAGTGCATCTTATCCCTAGCATGATCCAGATCATGGGAAGAAAAAACAATTTAGACATGAACCACATGAAAATAAACCAAAAGCATTACCCTGTCCTTACAAGTATTTATGGCACAGTCTCTGGTACGGTGTGTTAAGCTGCTGCTCAATGTGCCAGTTACCCATATGTGAGTGTGGCTTTGTAGTCTTGGCTGCTCCACTTCCAACTCAGCTTCCTGCTAATGCACCTGGAAGCAGCAAAGGCCGGTTCACTGAGCTCCTGCCATCTACAGAGGAGACCCACACAGAGCTCCAGGCTGCCAGCTTCAGGGCAGCCCAGCCCTGGCTGCTGTGGGCATCTGGGCAGTCAATCGACTGACTGCCTATGCCCTTCAACTAGACAATGAACTTCCCAAAAAATTACTTTTAACTCCAAAGTAAGCAATGAATCTAATAAAAATAGGATCACACATATTCTCACTAGAAATTTATCTTAACAATAATCTACTCACATTTATTATTAAAAACAAATACCACAAACGCTGCTAAACATCAGAGAAAGGCATGCAAGACATAAAGCAGTGATTCAGTCAGGTGCGACTGCCCAGCACGTTGGGTCGCCACCTGCGATGCCCACATCTGGTGCCTGGTTTTAGTCCCAGATGCTCCAGCCTTTGATGGCTCCCTGCTGACGTCACTGGGAAGCAGCAGATGGTGTCCCAAATATGAAGGTTCCTGCCATTCTCATGAAGAGCTGGCTTACAGGCCGCTGCTGGCCTTGACCTGACTCGGCTATGGCGTGTGGCAGCTGTTTGAGGAACCAGACAGATCAGCGTCTCAAATTTTTAAAACACAGAGGCTTTGGGAGCCGCCCTCCAAAATGTCTGCGGTCACACTGTGATGCTACCATTGGTTAAGACACTGGCTGGTACACAATCCTTACCAGTTTTGGATCCAACTTCCTACCAATACTGTTCACTCTGCCAAGAGGATGCCGGCTCAAGGGCTTGGGTCATGGCCACTCACATGAGAAACTCAGATGGCATTCTGGGCTCCTAGGTTTGGTCTAACCCAAATTTGCTTTGTAGGCAAAGTACTTCACACTCTTCTCTTCCTCACTCAGGCTTTGCCTTTCAAGTAAAACAAATACTACACAGAGAATATTAAAACCAAAATATCAGGGCTGGCGCCACGGCACAGCATGCTAAGCTTCCGCTTGTGATGCCAGCATCCCAACGGTGCCAAGTGGATCCAGGCTGCTTCACTGCTCCCTGCTGATGGGCTTGGGCAAACAGCACATGACAGCCCGAGTCCTTGAGTCTTTGCACCAACACGGCCAACCTGAAAGAAGCTCCAGGCTCCTGCCTTCAGAAATGCCCACTGCAGCCATGTGGGGAGTGAAACAGCAGATCATCAATCACTCTCTTACCTTTCACAAATAAAATTATCTTTTTAAAAGATCAGTGTCAAAATAACCACCCACTCTTGTTTTATGCATGGAAAGTTTATTTTTTTCTTTTCTAAAATAGCCTGATTTGTACTAAAATATTTAAGCGGGAGTTAAGTATATTATCAAAGGTTTAGCAGGTTCACAGTTCTGATGATCTTTTGGTTTAGTAAGTCAGAAATACCACTGGAATCCCATGTCATCACCACTGCTTCAACCAAGATGCCACCCCCTCTTTCTGTTTTTTTTAAACCAAAGACTTAACACTTCCACAGACACATCCACAAATATTCATTCACATGTATCCCATATTTCCTATTAAACGCCAGAAATTCTGGAATTTGTTGAAAACATTGTGAAATGAGAAGTGTAAAATTTAAGAATTAGCCTCCTAAATTGGATAATGAGTAAAATTAAAAAGCCTTCTTATATTAAAAAAAATCAATACAGAAAAATAAAGTTAAGACCGTAAACATGTTTTAGCATACCAACAACAATGAATTTTAAAAAGCAAACTTAAACCTGAAAAATATTTATCATTGAGTAAGATTTAGATCCTGAGAAAACAGGTTCAGATAATCTATTCTGAAATGTCTAATAGTAATTTAACCCAGACCTGGAACTCAATGGAGGGAGTGACACAAGTGACTGCAAACGAAGAGGTATGTACCTACTGCAGGAAGTAAAACTGAACTGTAATCCTGTGAGTGACACAGCTTAGAAACCTGCCCCAAGAAGAAGAATCTGATAACCAGGGGTCCGGCATGATAGCGTAGTGGTTAAGGTCCTCACCTTGAACGCACCAGGATCCCATATGGATGCCAGTTCTAATCCTGACGGCCCCACTTCCCATCCAGCTCACTGCCTGTGGCCTGGGAAAGCAGTAGAGGATGGCCCAAAAGCCTTGGGACCCTGCACCCATGTGGGAGACCTGGAAGATGATCTGGGCTCCTGGCTTCGGGTTGGCTCAGCACCAGCCATTGTGGTCACTTGGGGAGTGAATCATCGGACAGAAGATCTGCCTCTCTGTCTCTCCTCCTCTGTATCTGACTTTGCAATAAAAATTAAAAAATAAATATTTGAAAAAAAAAAGCATGAAGGAGGTAGAAGAATCTCAAAATTAGAAGATATTTCCTCCTGTCACCAGGAGGAAACAAACAAAAGGCTGGAAGAAGAGCCGATCAGGCCAAAAAAAGTATTCAAGAATTGAAAGACACTATTAAGAGGCCAAATATAAGAGTTATGGGAGTCCCAGAAAGTGCAGAAAGAGAAACTGGGATTAAAAGTGTACTCAATCAAATAATAAGGGAAAATTTCCCTAATCTAGAGAAAGAATTGGGAAGCAAGATCCAGGAGGGGCACAGAACTCCCAACAGGGTTGACCAAAAGTGACCTTCACTATGACACATGATCTCAAGCTCTCTTCAATTGAACATAAGGAAAAGATCCTTAAATGTGCATGTGAAAAAATCAACTAACATATATAAAGGAATGCCAATTAAACTCACAGGAGACCTCTCACAGGAAACTCTACAGGTCAAAAGGGAATGGAGCGACATATTTCAGATTCTAAAAGCAAAAAATTATCCCCCCAGGGTAACGTACCCAGCAAAACTTTCTTTTGTCTTTGAAAATGAAATAAAATTCTTCCACAGTAAAGAAAAGTTCAAAGACTATGCCTCTTCCAGACCTGCCCTACAAAGGATAATTAAAGATGTTCTCTTGACAAAGAAAAGGAATTGCACCCAACAAAACCAAAGGCAAATGCAAAGAACATCCCAGTAAAATAACAACAGAAGACTAAATCAATGAACAACCCATTGCTAAATTACAGAACCAAATTACCACATATTTGTATTAACCCTGAATGTAAATGGCTTAAATTCATCAATCAAACGTCAGATTAGTAGACTGGATTAAAAACAAAATCCTTCTATTTGTTGCCTACAGGAGACACATTTCACCAAAGATCTCAGCAAAAACTATGTTTCATTTCATGGTTTTTGATGTTTTTTGTTAGTTTTATCTCTTCAAAACACTTTCTTCTGATTAAATTCTTCAATGGCTCATAGATCATACAGTTACATCACTTTCTTCAAGAAGGTTCTTGATTTTCTTTCCCATTTCCTCAGCAACACATCGGGGATTCAGTAGCATGTTATTTAACTTCTTGGTGTTGTTAATTTCTTTTTTTTTTCTTCCTGTTGTTGATTATGTTTTGTGGCTTTTCATTGAAGGGGATGTATAGTAACTGTGTAAGAGACTATCACATCTAATAGTACACTATTTAACTTCATGGCATTTAATTTTCTAGTTTTCTTCCTGTTGTTGCTTTTGTATTGTGGCTTTTCATTGAAGGGGATGTATAATAACTGTGTAATGGAGACTCATATCCAGAAGTGAGGATACAATGTAGTATGCATTTCTACTTCCAGACAAAGATGGACTCCCAATCAAACTGCTTACTATATTTTGACAACAGGATGCTGGACTCTCTACTATTGTCCATGCCTGCAATGATGGACATGTGACTATGTATTAGAAAGAACTATACTATATTAATGATACAGGGGAACTCAGTGAGAGGGGAGGAAATTGGGGAGGAGATAAGGCAAATCCCAGGGCCTATGAAACTGTATCATAAAATGCTAATAGTAAAAAGAAGTAAAATTAAAAAAAAAAACTTACAAGTTAAAACTACAACACGGTACACGGGAAAAACATATCTCCTGACCAATCCCCCGCTCCTCCAGTAACAGACTGATCTCAAAGAAAAAGTTACAATTTCCCCCCTAAAAATGTATTTTGATAACAGACTAGAAACCAGAGCATAAGAATGTGGTATTTTAAGCAAAATTCCTAACCTTAAAACAGACAAGTATAAAATTTAACAAAGCTAACTACACCATCTTGTTTAAAATCCTGTGCTTTCAAACACTCAAGAATTAGGACACTAGACATTAAACCTCACCAAACAAAACATATATCTAAATATTAATTCACGGTTAATATGTCCACAATGAGCAATATATGCGACTATCACTCCACATTCCAAACAGCTAAGTGGAAAATTAAGCACTTCAACTTCTGTTGCACTCTGAAAGTGCAGAGACACAAGAAACGGCCACACTGGTATTTTGGGCAGTGTCTTACTGTTATTCTCAGTGTTTTACAAGGAGCTAAAAATGGTTACTAGTTGATAGAATGATTCAAGAAAAATCCTCAAAAAAAATTCTAAATTAAAAAATTACTAAACAATACCTTCATTAAATTATTTGCTATTTAAAAATAAATACAACCTCAATGACATTTACATTCTATACAATTTGGCATAACAGTAAATATAAAATAAGAAAATATCATTAAAATATTTCCTGACAATATTTCCACTTTCATAGCTATAGTCTGAAAGTCACTAAACTCAAAAGTAATTCAAGTTTTAATTTTTTAGATACTATGAATACTTTCAGGTAAGCATCCATTAATATCATGTCATTATAAACCTAGAAGTTATTGTAATGGATAATCAATACCAAATAACCAGATACAGCAAAAGAAAAATCATTGATGCCTTGTAAAAAATATTTAAAACAGTGTTAAGTACATACCCATTAAATCCAGTGACAATTTTCAGTATTCTTTCCTTCATTTCATCAAAGGGAATATACTCAACATTAGGGTTGGGAGGACCTCTTGGTTCAGGAGCTGAAGTTCTGAAATCATCCATCACTTTCTCCAGTTTGAAAATAAAATAACCTTTAAATTGGGACCACTGAATCCTATAAACAAAAAATTGACAAAATATAAAATCACGTAGCTTTACAACTCTTGAACACAATGCACAAATATAGACAATACATGGTAAGATGAGATTAAGAAGAAATGTGCAGCACCATGCACAATTAGTATGATGCCCAAGTGCCAAGCAGATTCCAAGGAACCCTCAACACCTCTGACATCAAAATTCCAATCTCTTAAAACACTCTGCAAGCATACAAGATGCTCAGACTGAGTAATTTCAAAACACGATTGTTTTCAACTGTGGCCCTATAAAAAAGCTAATCAGAAAGGTGTCACCGCTCCACTATGTCAGGCCAGAAATAAACTTGATTTTAAGACTTATAACGTCCAAAATTATGACGCTTTCACAGAATAGTAATATTTGTTGTCTTTTAACTATCAAACAACAAAAGCAACTTTTGTCTTTCCCCAGCGAGTAAGTTAAAAGCTAGGATATATGTTCTGTGAAGCCTACAATGTTGACATCTCATCTGGGCACCAGTTCCTGTCCCAGCTGTTGTCTCTGATCCAGCAGAAGGCCTTGACTGGGAAGAAGCTCCTGCTCCTGACTTCAGCACGGCCCAACCTTGGTCAAGGCAAAGATTTGACGAGTTAGGCAGTGGGTGGAGTCTCAAAGTAACTCTGCCTTTAAAATAAATAATTAAAAAAAAAAAGGAAGCAGCAGCAGCTGACTTAATGGGATGGAATCTGGATCTATTCATACCTTAATTTCTTTTTTTTTTAAGTGCAAATAAACCTTGTAGCCTTTCTGCCTTACATTTTACTACCAAAATAGGAGAAATGTTGTGCTGACTAAATCCCAGGAGCCCCAAGAGTCAGGACGTCAACCAATCACCTAGGCAGGCAGTATGGCAGTACTACCACAGGCAGCAACAGATGAATCTCTTTTACAGACTGAGGACTTACAATGGCACAAAGAAGGATGCTAACCTACACAGTTACCCATTCATCCCACCCAGTCGGTCCCAAGGGGAGTAGTTCTCAAGTTGTGGTCCACAGGAATAAGAGTAGACTTTTTCACACTGCTGACAGGTGAAATGACAGTACGAAAGTAAAGGTAAAAGCTGAGAGCATTTTAACATGAATCAAAACAGTAGCAGCAAATTGTATGCTTATAGGGGTCAATTACCTGATCTTTATCACTCCAAAACCAATCTTTAAAGTCTGCTTTACTCAAAGTGTAACAATTAAATAAAAATCACTAATTCCATTGAATCTCAAAACCTGATGTACATCTTCTCAAGACTGGGCGTATTTCTCACCTGAATATTGTCACCCACTTAAAAAACTACCAGCCATCTTTCATAGAATATTCTTTTTGTCTGAAAGAACTGCCATGCAACTACTACATTTGCAATCTAAGAGAACTGTAACAGCCACTTTCTGGAAAACAATGTAATAGACTACCAATTCAGGAGAAGCAGCCAGGACACAAACTGGCTCCCATTTGTGAAACCGGAACTTGCAAAGTGAGGAATTAGCCACTGAGCCATCACAATGGCCCTGAAAATGAAATTATTCTAAACAGATGACTGTGAAACACTGTCTAGACTAGAATCAATTTTATATGGGATTAATTTCTCCACATAGTTCCGCCCCTCCCCCCCAAAAAAATACTCAAGAATTTGCTGCTTTGCTGAAATTAACTCAAGAATTTACTGCAATTTGGACCCAAGGACACCAGCATCCCACATGGACGCCAGTTTGAATCTCGTCTGCTCCACTTAGAATCCTGAAGCAATGGCAGCCAGTCCAGGTCCACGGTTCCCTACACCCACATGGGGGACGGACCCAGAAGAATCTCCTAACTCCTTCCTTCAAATCAGCTCAGCTCCAAGACATACAGGGGACGGACCCAGAAGAATCTCCTAACTCCTTCCTTCAAATCAGCTCAGCTCCAAGACATACAGCCATTTGGGGAGTGAACCAGTAGATGCAAGATTTCCCTAACTCTGTCTTTTGTATAAAAAATTTTAAAAATAAATCTTTTTTTTTTTAAAGGGTCCATTTCTCCTTTTCCCAGTCTACTCTAGAATTTAGTGGTCGTAACCATCACCTCAGCTTGTTGCTTCCTCCTGTCGCAAATTACACGCAAAGCAAACTTGATTGATTGGACTCACTGTGTTCTACACAAAACTGTGCTGAGGTACTCATCAAGAGCCCACAGGAGAGCTCTAACACTGAGAGCTGCTCCAAGGGACAGCAGGTCTGCGCCATTTGCAAACATCAGAAGGGAGCAGGAAAGAAAACAAAATCCTGCAGGCTTCGTCACTTAAATGCTAACAGCCTTACAGAACATTTTATCTTCCAAAACACAGATATTTGCATCAGGAGACTCCCAAGTCAGCAAAATCAGTCTAAGTGATATGGCTGGGGAAAATAAAACAAGTAAATATGTTAACTGAATTAAGTGGTAAAGAGAGACAAAAACAACATGTCATATTTTGACACTTATGTGAACAAATTTTAAAACAAAAATCTAAGAAAACCTCTCCCAAGAAGGCCCTCCAAAAATGAAAGTTCATTTTGCATTTTTACACATCACATTTTGCCTAATCAAATGTATCACTCTAAGTGGTATTAAAACATTTTTAACTATACCAATTTGAAATTATCTTTGCAGCGTTAGTTACAGGGCAGTGAGTTCAGCCACTGCCTGAGACACTAGCATCCCACGTGAATCCAGCTGAAGTCCCAGCTGCTCCACTTCAGAACCAGCCCCAACAATGTTCCTGGGAAATCAGGGCAGTAAGTGCTTGGGCCCTGCCACTCACGTGGGGGAACCAGATGGATTTCCTAGCTCCAGGCTTTGGTTTGGTCCAGCCCAGTTCTTGGTGAGTGAACCAGCAGAGAAGACATCTCTTAATTCCACTTTTCAAATAAAATTTAAAAACAAAACAAAAAATGCTTCTATCTGAAGACCATACAGTGCTAGCTCCAAAGCAATGAAGTTCTGACACAAATTCCGCCCCTCCCCAAGTGGATTTTTCAGGACTGGCAAAGATTTGATACTGATTGGACACATAAAAGGATGTAATCAGAAAAGGAAGTTTCTGAAGGTAACACAAGCTTTCACCTACTACTTAGTGTAACCGTGGGTTTCTTTCTGCTAACTTGTACATTGGTGGTCAGGATTTCTATATGCCTGAAGATTCAAGTTACTATCCATTTACACACCCACCCCTCCCTACTAAAACAAAGCAAAATGAAGCACGAGAAATATTGTGTTCTAGTTCATGTGATTTGGGTTTTTCTTAATCTTTCAGTTTTTAAAAAATATTTATTTACTATTATTGTAAAGTCAGATATACAGAGAGGGGGAGAGACAGAGAGGAAGATCTTCCGTCCACTGATTTACCACCCAAGTGACCAAAACGGACAGAGCTGAGCCGATCCGAAGCCAGGAACCCAGAGCTTCTTCCAGATTTCCCACGCAGGTGCAGGCTCCCAAGGCTTGGGCTGTCCTGGACTGCTTTCCCAGGCCACAAGCAGGGAGCTGGATGGGAAGTGGAACAGCCAGGATACGCAATGGCACCCATATGAGATCCTGGCACATGGCAAGACGAGAACTTCTGCCACTTGGCTACTGCGTGGAGCCCAAATAAAAATTTTAACAATTGTCAATTTGACCGGTATTGTGACAGCAATAAGCTGACACAGGTGACAGTGTCTAGGTGACACAGTGTCTAGGTGACAAGCTGCCACCTAGACACTGGCACTGCATATGGGTGCCAGTTCAACTCCCAACTGAACCCATTTACAACCCACTCCTTTCATTTCAGGAAAACAGCGAAAGACAGCGTCTGGGCCTCTGCCTTCAAAAGGGAGACCTGGAACAAGAATTTAGCTTTACTTTTGTCTAGCCCTAAAGGTTGTAGCCACCAGGGAAACGAACCAGAGGATGGAAAACCTGTCTCTTCCTCTTTTTAACTCAGTTTTTCAAATAAATGCTCCTGGCTGGTGTAATGGCTCAATTGGTTAATGCTGATCATCCTCCCCAAGCACTAGGATCCGATATGGGCACTGGCTCAAGCTCCAGCTGCTCCACTTTCAATCCAGTTTCCTGCAATGGCCTGAGAAAACAGGGGAGTATGACCAAAAGCCCTGGGACCCTGCATCCGCACAGAAGACTCAGAAACCCCTGGCTCAGATCAGCCCAGCTCTGGACAATGCAGCCATTTGATGAGTCAATCAGCACAGGGTCCATCTTTCTGTCTCTGCGGCTCTCTACAAATCAGCCTTTCCAATAAAAATATACATCTTAAAAGAAAACAATAATCAAAAGTCCCTCAAAAATAACATTTGTACTTTGGTCCAAACACTTTTCAAATAAGTACAAAATGAGTATATCAACACTATTAAATGGATACTCTCTCCTGGGAATCACCAACATTAAGAAAGATTAAGAAATACCACAAGAATAAGAAAATAAGGTAGAAATGCTTTTTAGAAACAAAATTGTAGGGGTAGGCATGCAGACCAGAAGTTGAGATCTCTCATATCCAAATGTCTGGGTTCAATTCTTTTTTTTTTTTAAAGACTTATTTTTATTATTTTTTTATTGGAAAGGCAGATATACAGAGAGGAGAGACAGAGAGGAAGATCTTCCGTCAGATGATTCACTCCCCAAGTGAGCACAACAACGGCCAATGCTATGCCGATCCGAAGCCAGGAGCCTCTTCCGGGTCTCCCACGCGGGTGCAGGGTCCCAAAGCTTTGGGCCATCCTCTACTGCTTTTCCAGGCCACAGGCAGGGAGCTGGAAGGGAAGCGGGGCTGCCGGGATAGAACCGGCACCCATATGGGATCCCGGGCGTGCAAGGCGAGGACCTTAACCACTGTGCCACAGCGCCGGGCCCTGGGTTCAATTCTTAACTCCTGACTCCCAAAAATAGCTTTAATAATACCCTGAGATCTCCAAACCCAATCCATTTCACATATGTTGGGCATCTGAGGGGTAAACTAGAGGATAGCAAACT